TCCTTCTCCAGGGACTGGCCTCTCCTGAGAACACGTCCATCGTGCATGAGATGAAGTCTCACCACCCCTGCCTTTAAGGAACACTCTCGGTACTAGGTGTATGTGCTCTTTTGGGAGTCCACCAGACTTTCCATGTTCTTTGCCAGCACCATCATTCAAACACACCTATGCTTATGTCTTTCTGATTCAATATCCACCTTTCACATGCATATGAAGCGATTGAAAACACCATGACTTGGATCATGCTATATGATCGCATGTAGACATACTGTCATCAGTATAACATTTTTTTATAGATGCATGGCTTTTATAAAACAATAAGGGGAAAATGTCCAGTCAAAAATGAGGAAAAGCTCTAGACTACTAATGAAACATAATCATACTGAAATATATTTAAAAATTAAAATATATTAAATTAACTATTTTAAAGTAAAAAACAAAATTAGTATGGCTGATTAAAAGCAGCAAAGATGCATTTAAAATAAGTTTTTTGTTTATTGCCTAAAAATAAATATTAAATTAAATAGGCTGCTTTTAAGAAAGGGTGAAACAGTATACTGAAAATCATTTCCTGTCTCACGTGTCATTAGAATAAGATGAAGAGAGTGTGTCTTCGAAGATTCTAGACCATCGGTTCCCAAATTTATTTGACTTATCTCCCCCTTTTCAGAAAAAAACCCCACCTACTTAGCACCTCCCCCCGGCAATGCAAAACTTGTGGACCTATGCCCAGAAGCCAAGATGAAGTAGAGCTACATGGGTTGCTCCCGCTCACCCCACAGAGGGGTGTCACCCATTCTGGGGAACACTGCTCTCCACCAAGTTCAAAGGCGCAGGCTACGTAGTGGTGGGCAGAGAATGAAGAAGGGGAAAGGGACTCGGAATATTCTAGTAGGCACTGAGGGATGAGCACATTGCTCCTCTTCCAGTTCATATTTTCAAAGTCTTAGGTTGTAAAGTCCATGCAGCCTCTGAAGGGCAAGATGACGGTGACAGCTTTGGAATGCGGATAAATTTGACAATAAGTTTGATAGTCTGCCTCTACATATACAGTTCAACAATGTGCAAAGCATTTAAATGTATAATGTTTATTAGCATCAGTAGTTAGTACTCAGGCCTAGTTGTGGCTGTTACTAGAAGTTACTAAAGTTTGTCTATGAAAATGGTAAGCGCCCCTTTCTTCTACTAAGGACTCTGTCTTTTCCTCTATAGCTTTCCCAGCTGATGCCTTTATGCATAAAGTCAGCGCTCTCAGGTTTACTTGAGTGTCTGGGTCCACTTGGTTTCAGTTGTTCAAAAAGTCTGCAAATGATTTGGCAAAGGTTATGACCCTAGAATGAGTGTTGCTGGTTCCTTAAGTATTTACAGTTCAATCTTTAAAGCACACGTGTGTTGTCAAGGAGTTTTCACACCTGTTATACAACCTGAATTTCACTTCCAACAGCCAGTGGACACAAGGGTCACTATTATCTGTATCTCAGTGTCGAGGAAACGGAGGTTTAGGGGAGGTGATGTGACTTAGAGAAGCCCCAACCCACGGTCACCAGATGGACTAGCAATGCAGTAACTCAGTCAGGTCCAGGGTCCGTTCGGCTGTGCTAGTCCACACACCTTCCAAGGGGGAGGCTCTCAAGAGCTGTGAAGTCCCTGTGTGGGGCAAATGGTTGATGGCCTCCCCTGGTAACTGAGAGATTGGAGGTTCAAATCAGCCCAGCTCTGCCTTGAGGAAAGTGCCTGGGGACTTATTTCCAAACCACCAGCCAATAGAAACCCTGCAGAGCACAGATCTACCCTCAGACATGGTCACCCCAAGTCATAACTGACCTAGTTGGCAAACGGTTAAAAGGAACGGTGGTTCCCTGACAATGGGAGGGCCAAGTGAGCAAGACCTTAGAGGACGAAATCAAGGACCTTGGTCAACCTGCTGGCCTGTGTTGATACAGGGATGTCAAAGGTCAATGGAGTGAATGAAGGGTTCCTGCCCATCCCCTGAACCACTCTGCCAACAGGGAGCATGCGGACAGCAACCTAATCTTGGCCTCCCCCTCAGAGCCCCAAAGGTCTCACCCTCTTTAGTACCATGGAGAGACAAGCCATTTGTTCTCATTACCTTTTATGGCCTCTTTCACAGCAGAATCAACTGGCAGTATATTCTTCTCGACCAGCTCCAGGGGCCCTGGCCGGAGAGCAATCTTTTCATTAAGATCATCGGCCAGCCGGGCTCTTTTGAGCTTCATCTGAGCGCTGGGGATGGATCTCTCTGCGCTGGAGGCTGAAGGGGCGAAGAGAAAAGGATCAGTTCTAGAATTTGGTGCCTTAAAAAAATTTTTTTTTTTAATTCTTCTGCTTGTGGTTACAAAACATTGTGTCACACTGTGCTCTACCATCCTAATAATTTTTGATGCAATCATTCTCATTTCACATGGATTAGCACCAAAGACCAGATACTTCCAAATAAAGGCAAATAGAGAAGCAAACAGATGTACTTTGCAAGGATTTACGGGATAAAAATATGCCATTTGGCCATTCTATGAGTGGG